AACTTATCTTCTAAACTCAGTGCTGCTATATTTTTGTTGCATCTATAAATCATTAAAAGGCATGTTTTTGTCACACTGTCAAATGAAAGGATATCTCCCACATCTTTCGCCCACACAATACACTTTAGTGTACATCCTGTGAAGCGCTTTGAGAACATCTCGAAGACGTGATAAGGCGCTATATCAAAGGCAAAGATTATTTATGATTATTATCTCAACTGTCCAGTGGATGTCAACTATCAAGTAGATATCTCCTTGATCAATATACCAAACAAAAGCAACTTGCATTCAATTTTATTTTTAAAATATGACTGCACTTTCTGGTCCCTCTCAGGTCATATTAACCAGAGTCTCAAAACATTAAGACACAGAAAACTGCCAACTTTCCTCTGTGTTCAGCTCAAACACACCTCCTGGTGGAAGAATGAAAGCTTAACATTGACAACTGAAGTGCNTTCTTTGGGCTGACACTGTTGAATTCTCCCCAACCAAGCATGACAGTGGAGTTTTGGAGAAGGGGAAAAATAGAATAGGGTAAAGGGGTGGGGTGGTAGCATTTGATGTTATACTTCCCACCTATTATACTGTTCTTTTAAAAAAAACACACACTTGAGACATTTGAGTATTTGTCATTAAATTGCATGCCTCTTCATGGAAAAGGAGAATACTAATACTAGTAAAAAAAACTTAGACAGCAGGTTAAGTAATTTTTTACACTTTGTAAACTAATACATACGGTCTAATAATCTGCAGTACTTTACCTTTAGTCTAATAATCTGGTGGTGGAATGTAACCAATTGTCATTTAACTAAATACACCGTGAATGAAGGTAATATTTTGGTTTTATTTCAAACTAAAACAAACCATTGTGTACATTTTATCTTGATCGTTTGCAAAACATCTTCCATTTGAAAAAAGATGATAATAATCATCATCAACTGTGGATTTGATAGAGCGATTTTCATGTCAGAAGAACGTTTCAAAGCATTTCACAGGATTGTACTATAAACAACAACAACAACAAGATTCCATTTATAAAGCGCGTTTCACGTCAGGAGGACGTCCCAAGGCGCTGCACAGTTGGGTCATGACCCGAGCAGGGGGGAAATGGTCAGGGTGAGGGAAGGGAGGGAGCGAGGAGGGGGAAGAGAGTCGAGAGGGGAGCTGAAGGCTCGGTCAAAGAGAAGTGTATTTTATAGTAGTATTTTTTGTAGGGGAACGCCTACAAAAGATGAATGTAAGCTGTCTGAGATGTAATCTATTTTCGTTTGAACAGTTGGATTTTTGACTGATTATTTCACAAGATAATTTACATTTGAATATGCAATCAAAAACATTTATATACAGCTATTGCCAGGGTAAATTATTATAGCATGGTGAACAGTTCTCAGCTGATTATTCTTCTCTTGGTCAGAGAACAATGTACTCAATTAGTTAATTTGCTTGAGTCGGCTTCTATTATGCGTAACCCATGTAACTAAGGTCACATAATTCCTGTATAAAGCTTTTATTCCACTGTTGCACTTCCAAAGTGACACAACATCAATTTAATTACTGAAATGAGGATGGTGACATAATATGGCAATAGAATTTTACAATAGAGGTTTAAACACAGAAATTGTAAGTGCTTCCAGCAGTATTATTCTTGGCATGAAAATAAACTGTCAAATCAGAGTCGAGGGTATGGGAAACAGAGAGCAAGCTTTAAACAAAAGAAAATTGAAGTGGGTTCTGAAGAATCAAGGCAGTCAAAAGAAAACTGCACATTTTAATGAAAATAATGCATTTCCCAATGGGATATTGTTCCCTTTAAATAATGGTTATATTTGTCATGGGGCTGTGTGAACACTACCCAATAATAAAAACTGGAGCATTTATCGCTCCTCATCATCTTTACAACGATGCTTGGGGAATTAAAATAAAATGACCGTGGCACAGCAAAGTTCATCTGTAAATTTTATAAAGCAATAAGACATATCACATTAATAATAGTGGCATTATCAAAGTGATTTTCACTTTGGTTATCTCGGAAACACCATGCTTCAAATACACAATCGAATATATTGGGTCAATAAAGCTAAACAGACATTAAAAATATTGTCATCACACAATCGTTCTAATGGAAATTGAGTCATAGGTTCTAATTCCAGAAGCGCTCATCAAAAAAATCAATGTCACCAAGTTGCCTATAAAGGCCACACTTCCATTATGAAATCAGTTTAAAGCCCTAAACAGGAATCAAGAGCATAATGGGTTTATTCAAGCTAATGTCATTTTTAGTGTGCAAATCTAAACATAAACCATCAAAGTACACAGGAAATTTATGTGCAATAAAGCAAAAAAAATCCATATCCAAGGACTTGGCACAGTTAGACTATCACTGCACTATGCAAATATATATATATATATGTATGAACTCAAGTGCTCAAGACAAATTATTGCAATTCAAAGTAAATGTCTGCTCACATTGAAAGAATCAGCAGACACGGCAAAATACATCACCGATACATGTGCAAGAATGATAAGTAACTCAATTTGACAATCTTGTCTGAAACGACTGCTTTATCTGCCTGAGGTTTAGATTACAATCGGAAAAGTGCAGGCTTGACGTGTTGGTATAACTGAGATAAAACTGAAAAGCAATTAACAAATCACAACCAACGCCAAGATGCTTCACTTTCTTCAAAATCAAAATAAGTAATTTTGTCAACAAAAGTGGTTTATTACCATATAAAATCAAAATAGAACTGAGACTTCAAGCCCTATAAATGTGGTTAGTAATTCAAATTAAGGAGACTTGCGACCAATCACTTCCAAATGGAGAAATGTTTGGTATGAATTGTTCTAAAATGATTCAAATAAGCAAATGCCTTTGAAATTTAGATTTGTCCCAACCTAAACACACTTACACACAGTTGGATCCATCTGAGCTTATGATACACAGGAAAATCCAGGAAATAAGATATCAGAAATTCAAGTTGATAAAAAAAACTTGCAGTAGGATATTGAGAACTGTTGCCATTGTATTAGAAGGCAATACGCCAATACAATCAAACAAGAATGAAGATCAACAAGACTGAACCTCTAGGTGTCAGAACTTTAGTTCGCTGTCAAGCCCATTTGTTCAATGCAATGCAAAGAATTTACGAAGACATGAGCACCCTGATGTTTCCACTCATCAGTCCTGTGTTATCCACTGTTAGTAAAGCTTAGTAATTGGTATGTAACCCGTCATCCCAGTCCAGTGATCATTACAGGCTGGCGATTTAACAAGCAAGAAATGAGCCTCTTGACACCGTGATTTTAAAACAAATCTTACAATAGACTTGTGCTGAGTGGGGTCAAAAGTCATGAATGACGATTCAACCAGAAAGTCATGTTTCAACAGCCTAGAAGTCAACTTGATTCCTGCACATGATGCTGGGAAGAATAGAGAAATTCATCTACATTCATCTCAAACATGAATACCTCCATCCAGAACTGTGGCTACCAGCGTGTTGGGAAGATCAAAGCAGATGATGGCTTGAATGGAAATGTTAATAATCCAGGGACTAATCAAGAAGCAACATTCCAGACCAATTGGCTCTCTTCTGCTATTCTTATGAGATCATATTATCATAATAATAATAATAAAACGTAACCTGCTTTCAAAGCTGCAGAGTCTTGGGTAAAGAACACAGTGAAGAAGTTTCACTAACCTTATATTGTCTTTTTTTCAGATTGGTGGCTGTGAGGAATTGTTCCTCATTCACTCACCTGGATTACAGCAGAGGCTACCTGACATACCCTGATACAATGCAGACATTGGCTACATTTCTTCTGTTGACTCACCGTAACCCAAGTTAGTCTAAAACTATTCAAAGCACTTTTGTTCGCCATTAGGCAGTATTGCTGTTCCATCCACCAACCCTTCTGAATGTTAAGGCTCTTACCAGTGATAGTGTCACCAAAAGAGAACATAGAGGGCACCACTACATCATGTGGCCACACCATGAGAAGTACTTTATATTGGTTTCACCAGAGACCAATAACCTTCAAATTATGTAGCCTGAGGTAACTGGTTTGGGATTAACAAGGCACATGCTGATCCCCAGAATTGTGCATTGGCATGCGAAGAGCATTCTTTGTACGACACAGACCATTTCATATTGATGCAAAGGAAACATTCGCACTTCTGTCTCCATTGTGCAGTGACTGACCCAAATTTTGAAAAGGGCAGCAGCTTTTAAAACTCTTGCTCTGCATTTCTGGGGCAGGAGATGAATCTGGCTGCAGTGTGGAAAAGTGTGTTAGTAATATATTCAGCACAGGTGGAAACGGTAATGTAGCTAATGGCTAAGTAATCACCTGCAGGTGTTTCAATTGATCCAGTTTTTTTAAAAAAAAGACTAATCGTTTGAGCCCTTACTCTTCAAGGAAAATGGGCCCCAGGCATCCAAAACAGGTCTAATCCTTCAGTTAGCAATGTTCTCCAGTTTAGAGCTACTTGCGGGAATTGGGGTAGTTTCTATTAGTTTGTCAGGGAGGATGCAGAAAATTGCTAAAGTTAGAATGACAATATGCCTTTATGTGTGCATAATATTGGGCTATTACGACTGCTGGGGAGTCCATCACCGTTGTCCAGCCATTCGGCTTGATGATACTCAAAACTAACGGTAAGCACAGTTTGAGAAGTGTAAAATTAAACTTGCATTGAACGCACACATGTCTGGCAGCATATTAAATACACTCATCTGGTATGCTGTATATTTTTAATAAAACTTCAAAAGCAGCAACTAAATTTAACACTCCAAGTCATTAGTTCTAATAGATAACACACATATATATATATGTTAAAAAATATGCAGAAACATTGATGTATTGGAAAATAGTTTTGCTTACATTCCAACCTTGAGAATTCATAATTGTTACCAAAGTGTACCATATTTCTGTTCATTTCAGCTTCTTGTAGACAGAAGTCACTTTTTTAAAAAAAAATCAAATGCTCAAGACTGCAGTTCTTTTCATACTAAAACACTGATCTTTACTTCAATGAAATGTACAAATATTTAAAGGGCCACAGCAGAACTGAAACTAAATACAAAACATTTGTGATATTTTTATTAGAAATGTCACACAATTGTCTGTGCAATGTGTGCAATATAACTACAATTTATTGTTAAATGTACTATGTTAGAAAACATGTAAGCTGTGGCGCTCTGAAAAGATTGCTATTCAAAAATTAAATGAAAAATTGCATTTTTTATTTGACATCTTTGTTAATACAAATTTTCTGTACAATTCTGAGTGAATTAAAGAGGATACAGTAATAACCTGCAAAATGGAATGACCAAGCAAAAAAATTCTCCTTGCTGTTAAGCACAGTGACTTTGATGAGGGACACTCATAATAAACATATAAGCAATAATCTCATTATCAAAATGACTACACTTTGCAGCTAGAGAAATTATTACTGCTTCATCTTGAAATATTACTGGAAAAATCAAGTATTGTCACGATCTTCAGTCATGTTTATGTATACTCCATAGTGCCACAGAAGCATTCATAAATACATCAATATGTCAGAATCAAAGATTTATGTACAATCGTCAAAGACAAATAGAATCATAGAATTCACATCAATCTTTCGTACTGCAATTTTATACTTTTCAGTGTTACCTAATGAAACACCCATTTCATAATAGTGGTTCTGCATTCAAGCAGCATTGGTTTAGCTTTTTAAACACATTCATTCATAAATTAGAATATTCACCATTTCTATTAATGAAGTTTCATGTAAACAACCCACACCTTTAATTTTGTGCTGAGGAGAAGACAAAACACATGCAACACTCCTTTAAACTAGCAGGTCCATAAAAATCACCCGGCAAAATATTACTTAGCCCAAATTAGGCGCATTTACATCCATTACCTGCAGTTTCACATACTCACACATTAATTTCTCACATGCTTGCACATCAGCTACTGCAGTTTCCATCAGTTCTCAGGCACACACACACAAACCTAGTTTATTGATTTTATTCTCAGAATTATTTGAAGGAAACTTGGGAGTTGGGACAGTTTTATGCCTCAAACAGACTTAACTCAGCCACACAAACCATGACAAGGTGAATGTTAATTAGATCCACCAATTCTCAAGGCTACCATGTCTTGAAGCATGGTATTACTATGCATACAATTCCATAGATCAAAAATCAGACATAATTTTTAAATTTTCAAACAAGGCATTTCATATGCTTGCCAATGTTATTTAGTTTAAATCAAAGAGATTATAAACAGCGACTCAAGGCGACAATGAATTTCACAATACTGTCATCACATTGAGCTAAAGCAGGATCAAGACAATCTTTGCCTCTTAGAATATTGTGATACCGGTGCCCTCACCCAACATAACTTGTAAACTGAAATTTAATTCTGTTGTATCTTTTCCTTTGCACAGGAAGACACACAGGAACACATACTATCCAGTTTATAGTTCTGTGTACAGCATTGCATGCAAAATGCCTATCTGCTGTAATAAAATTAAAAATGACTAAGTAAATATAGTATTGCCTGTGAGGATATTTGTATCATCTTTCTATTCAGTTTTGGTACCTATACATTGTAGCTGCACAGTATTGTTCTAGATTGCCTCAGTCAGTTTGGGGAAAAATTAGTACAATAAGTAATTTGTTTATCCTGCACTTTTGCATACAATAGGATTCAATCGCATTATTTTTTGACAAATGTTGTCCAGAACAAAATTCAACATTTCTATATAAAATTGAGAATGACCCAAGCTAAGCACAACATACTTCTGCACTAAGTTTGCCCATTGTTAAATGTTGCCTATCTACCAATGTTCCAAAAGGGTTTGTAATTGATCGGTGATGCAGGAGGCAGATCAAAACAAAACTATCCTTAAATGCATTACACACGTAGTATTTCAAATACCACAGTGATACATAATAAATGCTTTCACTAAAATAGTGTACTGTACATTAATGTTACAGGAATATATGTTGCAAATTACTGTTGCTGCCATCAAGTCTTTTGAGATACTATACAGCTTAACATTTTAATACTTTCTAAATAAATCCATTTTCAGGCAGATTCAACAGAATTGCCAAATGCCAGAAAATATATACAGTCGCAACGTAAACAAAAATAGTCCCCATTTCGTTTTGCCCCAGTTTGCATCTCCAGTTTTCAAGCTAACTAGTGTTATAATTCAGAACATTCTTTTTTTAAATTCAATGTACAGTGCTTTTGAGAATTGGTTACATTAAAATGTCCACATCTCCTTCATTATCTTCTTCTGCCACCTTTACTGAGAGCACTTCTTCATTCAGGAATAAACCGCTTAGTCGCTCTTTTCGGGCTTGTCTCTGTTCTTTCAACTGCCGCTTCCTCATTGCCTTCTGTTGTAATTTGCGCTGTTTAGATCGTTTCTATCAAATAAGCCACAGTTACTTTAGATAGTGTACAGTGATAAACTTCAACAACAGTTTGCATTTGCGTTTATATAACGTCTTTCGCACGGGGTTGCGTCCCAGAGCACTTCAATTAAATTGATCGGGATGGGGGTGGGTAAAATGCAGTTAGGAGTAAAGGAACAACACAGACATCAATTTCTCTGACAGTCTCTAAAACGAGCTTTCAAGCTAACGCATTAATTTTAGAATTCTGGCCAAGTACAAACAAAAGCGAGGTATCAAGTAAATCAATAATCCTCGTATCTGACAAAGGGTTCTTATGAACCCATCAAAATGCTTTGAGGAATTTACAATAGAGTGCAGTGACTGTGTATTTTGCAGACAATTGTTGGTGGACTCGGCAGCCAATTTGCGCACAAAATAGTCATGAAGTGAACGGAGTGAAAATGTACCTTGGAGTCTCTTATTCTTTCAGCGGCATTTGTAGACAAGTTACTATCGCTGTGTGCCCGGCTCATGTTGGCACTTGAAGCAGCAGATGCAGAATTGCAACCACTGGATCCACTACTGCTGGCTGAGCTGATCATACTGGCACTGCTGCTGCTGGCACCGCTCACAGCGCTGGCACTGCAACCAGTGTAACTATTTTTCCTCCAGTTTTCACGCACGGATCGTTGCCGGGCACCATGTTCTTTAATGTAATTTCTTACCTGAAGGGATGCAACATACCAATTGGATCAATTCGTCAATGTTTTTCCCCCACCCTTGTATTCTCAGTGAAAACTATGAAATATGCAGCATCTTTAGCAGCAAATTTTGAATAAGAAAGTAACTTTCAGAGTTTACAATTAAGATTTTTTTTCAGTTTTGTTCTAGGATTTCCCAAATGCTAAAATATGAACGGAAATTCAAGAGTGAAAAAAGCTACATCCAACATTTTAAAAATCCCATTTAAAATCTTATATACCTTTATAAAGACTCCTCTGTCTGAGACGTTAATACATGTAGTCAACCAGTTCAGGCTTTGAGATTTACCTGCTTTAACTTTTCATCTGTCAGACAATTCAATTCAATGATAAATTCACTGTCAGTCGGTGAAATCTGAGCACTTGGATCAATAATTTTAATAATGTCCAGCTGTTCTCGCAGTCCCATTTCTGTACTGACTTTACGACTCAGGTACTCAATATATTCAACCTGAAACAAATCAAAGTGATATTCTGGTAAATATTCACAATTAGTCTCTGTTAAGGAAATACAGTACATATAAATAAAGAGAGAACAAACAAATATATTTGAAAGTACTATATGGTTTGCGGTAACCAAACTACTTTGGTGGATATTTTTACATTCATCAAAATGACAAATGTCAGGATCAGTGTCAGTGAAACATTTTCTACTTCTATCACCTTGAATCAGTATCAAGGGCTTCCAGGTGAAGCATAGCATGGCCAGATGTAGAGTAGAACTTCCACTATTCTGCCTCAATAATGTCTTTACCCCAAATTTTGGAAAAGTAATATTAACTGAACAAGTGTGTTTTTCCATCTCCTTTAGCAGTCAACTTTAGTCAGAGCAGAACTTTTTGCTGAACTTTCGACAGACTTTGATTTGGATCTATATTCATAGATACAACAACAACTTGCATTTATATAGCACCCTTCACGTGGAGTAGCGTCCCAGAGAGTTTGATTCTGGGTTGACAGTGCCCAATCTCATATAGAACTACTCAGCCCCAATATGATTCAAGTATGTATCGTGCCTTTAAGGAGCGTACAGCTGAGACAGATCAATTCTTTTCACAGATTTGTTTTATTATTGTGAAGCTGCAAATAAAATAAGAGTAAACAACACTATGAATACCTTATATCCTTAGTTGCAATAAAAATATATTAAGGTAAAGATTTAACCTGGTATTAATATTTTAAGTCAAGTGTCCATTGCAAAATTGCAATGAATGAATTTTAAAATAAAAATCAGCAGTAGCACTCGTATATGGCGTTTTAATATAAAAATCCTTAGCACCATCTAGTGTTGAACAGAAGCTACACTACTATTTTGTGAGCAATGTTAATATTTCTGATAACAATTGTAGGAAAATCTATCTTAATGAATCATTTTAGTACACAAGCTAGTCTAATTTGTCTAAATGTCTTACTATCACTACCTTAATCTGGGGGAGGAATGTAATCACAGCCATGTCTGATGATGATCACAATGTCTTGGAACAAATTCCTTATTGTGTTTATTCATAAAAAAATAAATTCGTATGTCATTCTAGCTGAGCCAAGGTTTACCTGGGAAAATGTTAAACAGTTTCTACAGTGCTAGAATAGGTTTCTTTAAAACAATTTAAATATGCATGTGAGACTCCATATTAAGATACGCAAGCTTCATCACTGACACACAAATTCCTTGAATAAAAGGTCAATGACCTGCTCATCATTTGTCATCGCACTCCATGGAAGCTCATCCAAACTTCGATGCTGTTTACTTCTTCTCTTTAGAACAGGGCAAGGGGAACTCAGAATGCTGGGTACCAAGTCAGACAAGACATCACTTCCACTTGCAATATCACTGCCAGGCAGCTTTAAAACAAAGAGAGCGGGAGTTTAAAAAAAAGCATCCACAGTAATTGTCTTAACATATGAAGACATTTTGTGCTCATCAACACAAATTGTGCAGTCAGGACCCCATATTGTGATAAAGAGCTGCATTACATTTCGTATCCTTGATCTGGGAAAACAAATTGCCTCAACTTGATTCAATGAGCAATGGAACTGTAATCAAACACTGCATATCAGACAGTTTATACAAGGGACTAAAACTGGATTATCAACCTCTCAAATAACAAAGGGGTTGTGTTCAACTGTGAAAAACCTTGTGCAGCAGTTCTACCTAACCAATAACATGCTCAATAATGTTATTATTCATATTATTCATTACAGAACGTTGGCATTCAAATCCTGATAAATTTGAGAAACATAGCTAATATGGAGTTCTAGAAATCACCCTGTTTTATAATAATTACATGGGTCAAAAGTATGCTGGGAAGTAAAATTGGGATTGGAATAATATTTCCCTGACTGTTAAAAACGAGGCATTTATCTTCATTCAATCATGGACACAACAGAGTAGAAAAACAAAATTAACAAACAAAACCTCAGGTAATAAAGAAATTCAGGGACAGCATAAGATTGCTGCAAATAATTCACTTATGTCTTAGAAGTTCCCCCCACATTACATACCACATTGTAAGTCAGTTTCAGACATGCAACCCTTATCTGATGATTGTAGATGAAAGCAGCCTATATTGTAGGTAAAAAATAGTTCCTTGAACTCACCTGCCACTCAAATTCACTGTCTGACCAATCCCAGTAGGTACTAATTGATGAAGACACATCACTACAAACACTGCCCTCTGGAAACAGGTCAAAGGATGCATTTTGAGTGAATTCCTGATCATCGAGAAGAGAATAGGAATCCTCCTGGTCTCCACAGGAAACTGATGAAAATAGTTCTTCGCTGCATTCAGAACTTGCCACACTTGTTCCGCAGGAAGTCAAATTCCACCTGTGCAAGGAAACAAATAGTTTTGCTATCTTTACTGGACATCCCCACAAGTACTTTCTTGCTGATTTTCCCTTCCCTTTCAAGTGACACAAAAGCCAATTATTGTCAACATTGCAAAGATGGCAACATGGATGAAAGGGAAAGATGTGTTCCTTATGCCTCAAGATTCATCCTGCAGGTAACAGGAATAATTTTGTGAAACAGCAAGATAGAAAAACTAGTTTACTTTTAAAACTCATTTTACATAATAATGAGTAGGCACAGAAAAGACCATTGTGGGACGTCCAACTGGTACTAAAATTCAATGTAACGTTCCTCTGCATTCTGGAAAAACTGAAGTTTACCACAATGGTAACTTAAGACAAGTTTCTCTGCATGGATTTTAAATGTCTGCACCTGCAGTTTTTTCCTGTGGAAGAGAATTACAACACAGGGGGTCATAGTTTAAGTGAATATCAAAGTGTTGCTATAGCGACTCGTACTAGCTACCATGTTGACAGTACGTGCAATCACTGTGGAACAAGATGAATAATCAGACCAATTCTCAGGCTCAGACCAGAATCCCCCCTTCCCATTCAGAGGCCCCAGGTGATATTTCACACTCGATTCACGCTATCCACCTGTTGGTATGGAATCGGCGCAGAGGATCAGTTCTGTGGCAGGAAGATAACTGGCAGCCAAAGTCACTGACATCAAGAGTGGCAACGTCACTTGTGTGTCCTCTTTGTGGTAAGAAGGGGAATGGTTCATCTGGGGCCAGGAATTTTCCATACAGATCACCTGACATATTTGTGTGAAAAGTGCTGTAGGAGAAGCAAACCTGCAAAAGATTAAAAAAAAAGTTTTATACAAGCATTGTACAAATATTTCTCCTGTTGCTAAGCAGTTTTGAAGAAACACTATAAATAATAGCTCCAAAAACATTCTTCACTTTCCAACTGAACCTTGGTAACCCTGCACAATTTTTTGAATTAGCACCATGATCAATATACTTAAAAAAGTTTTACAGCTGAAATTTACAATTTTAGCACTCTACCTGTTCTGGGTATTGCGTAAAACAATATTACTTTTAAAAATCCATTTGTTCCCCACAATTTCTATACCTCCCATATCAAGAACACAATAGCAGTAAAGATAAAGAACAGCAACAATTTCGTTTTACTTTTAGCATATTGCCTGTGAGCAATATGACCTAAATGCTAACAAAGATATCTAACTGGCGGGAGGGCAAAGGTACACGTCACACCTCAGAGTTGAACCAAGGTGGTTGGGTAGTCAGGGCAGGGAGGAGTAAAATCTCACTGCAGTATTAATTAAACCAATGAATGTATGGATCATAAAGTATCTGTGATCTATAATTTTTAATTAGATTTTACAACAACACTTCACGTTACTGTAGCTGCAGCTACATGGTTCTACAGGTTAAAATCATGTTTAGTCCTTATTTGTAATATAAGTCAGCTACAGTCGTTCTAAGAAATATAAAGTAATGCTGGTTGTAAGTTGTAAGGAAAGTATTAGGGCATCTAGAACTATATTGCACTTCTGAGTCTGCTTACTAATATATTTTTATATTTGAAATACAATACAAAATTGTAATCCAACAACTTAAAAAAATATTTGCAATTAGTGGCTCAATGGAAAAAGCAAAGCATATATTGAGATTGAGGCCTTGATAAAAATATGAGCAAATATCGTGTGCTAAAAGTTTATGCTAGACTGGATATACAGCAAATTAACTTGTCATAATTTAAAAACTCGCTCACTCCCCCACTCTCCAGCCTCCCAGTGTTGAAATACAATGCCACATACACAATCAGGTGCTATTTCACCAGAGCTTTAATTAGCTGCTCTGTCTTACCATCCTCACCACATAAAAACGAGTTTATACCCAACAGCCAGCATCAAGCAGCACATTTTCAGGCTGAGATTCAAACTTATAGGGGTTACAGAACGATGGAATTTGCCTTCTTTATACTGCAGTGCCAACATTGTAGCACGAGGGGCAACAGACAGCTAATGACCTCTAATTTGGGTACAAGTAGTTTAGAAACCGACTACATTTTCTGCCTGGGCCTTGGACTCAGTACATACGGGTTGGCACTGTCCAATGCTGGCAAGGCTCATTCAGGAAAACTTGGGATCTCTGGAGTCGCTCCCTGACCTTGTAAGCGTGCAGAAGGCATCAGTACACTGAACCAATTGCATACCCATGGTATACTCCATCAATGCAACTGCTAAACCCAATTACAATTGATTAATTTGCTGGGAATCCCCCCTCCAGAGATACACATACAAAACACCACAACTTACACATACATATATATACACATAAAAGTGAAAACACATCTGCCCAACACAAGGCACAAAGCCATGGTGACGGACTGGTACGACTGAAACGTGCCAACCCGCGACAGGAAGCAGCTCGGCTTCCCTTCCTCTCCCATTGCATCCGAGCTGCACATGGAAATCCCAGCGAGAAGATTGTTGGGATGGAACGCGCGCACTCTCGCTCTCGCTCTGCCTCCGCCCGGAGGGAAATATCCCGGTTTTACCCAATTCCGGAGAGTATGGAGGCGCAGGTTGGCAAGAGCCAAGGCTTGGTGGGGGGGGTTGGGTGGGAGCCCAGAGTGTGTGTGGGGGTGTGTGTGTGTGGGGGAGATGGAAGCCTAGTGTGTGTGTGTGTGTGTGGGGGGGGGGGGGGTGGAAGCCCAGAGTGTGTGTGGGGGGAGGGGGAGTAACTGTCTTTGCTGGGGGTGGGGGGAGGGCCCGCAATGACCACTGTACAAATGTCCGCACCAAAGAGCGGACTGAGGGACAGCCCAGAGGCTGCAGAGCGGCCTCGGCCGGACACCCACACACATTCACCCACACCGGCTTCTCTCCTTTAAATACGGAGACAGAAGGAAACAAAATGCCCTCCTCCTCCTCCACTCTCCTCCCTCCCTCCCTCAGCGGCTTCTCCTCACCTTCTCCCCGGCTCTCGTCACCGCTTCCCAAGGCCGGAGCCCGCCAGCGCGTCACTTCCAGCCAGGCCCCGCGCGCGTGCGCGCCAGCGACACCAGGCGGGCGGGTGGGCTCTCGCGCTCTCTCCCTCGACACCGCCCCGCGCGCGACCAACGGTTTTTGCCACGCAGATCAACAAGACCGTTCGTAGCCCAAGGCCGCCCCTCCCCCCCGAAAATAGCCCGACGTGGCTCGAAAAATAGCCCGACGTGGCCCGAAAAATAGCCCGACGTGGCCCGAAAAATAGCCCGACGTCAGACGCGTCGCCTGACCTCCACTCCCGCTGATTGAAAGGTTGGTGTCTCTCTCTCTCTTCTCTCTTATTTTTTTTAAAAAAACGCTTTTTTTTCAAACTGGGTCACGACAGAAAACAAAAGGTTCGTCAAATTGATGCGCATAAAAAAATGACATTAAAAAAAATATATTTTTTTTCTTCAATCTTCCCTCCGCCCCAACAAAAAAATAAAAAATGTAGGCGCCCGCCCGAACCTACTGTTTTTTTTAATTCTGACCCGCCTCCTCCACCTCGCGCCAGTCAGTGACTCGCGGAAAAAAAAGCCGCACGGCCCTGACTGACGGCGTCGCTCCGTCCAGTCAGGACCGCCCCCCCCCACCCACCCACCCCCGCGCGCGCTCTGAACAGGAAGTGACGCACCTGGTGAGCGCGCGAGCGAGCGGCTCGGGCTCAGGGAGGCGGGAGCGGCAGGACCGCGGGGTCGGGGTGCGTCGACTGAGGTGGGTGGTACAGGTGAGGGGGCGGGGAGAGGGGGGGGGGTGACTGAGGGGCGGGGAGAGGGGGAGGTGACTGAGGGGGACGCGGGGGAGCCGGGGACTGATTTGGGGGAGTGGGGCGGGGGGGGGGGGGAGGTGACTGAGGGTCTGCGTGGGGAGACGGGCACCGGATGTGACGCTCGGTGGCGGAGGTCAACAACAACAACAACTGACATTTGTATCGCGCCCTTCACGTCGGAAAGATGTCACGGGGCGTTGGATGTCCCGTACCGGGAGTCGATCCCGGGCTGCCTGGGTAAAAAACAGGCGTCCTAACTGCTGGACCATATGGGAGCCCCCGGGCTGGAGGATGTAGGATGTATGTGATGATGGGGGCGGGATGGTGGTGGGGGGGGTGTGAAGGTGGGATACTAGAGGTGGAGTTGTCTGAGGGCCGGCAATCTACCTGGGCTTTGTTTTGAAGAGGCTTCAGCCACCTCTTCATCTTCGCCGCCCCTCAGTCTCTGGCCGTTCTTTGAGGGGAGCTCGTAAACGGAACAAGTATTATAAAAACAGAAGTCGCTGCTGAACGCTCAGCAGGTCAGGCAGCATCTATAGAGAGAGGAAAGTAAGTGAACGTTTCAGGTCGATGACTTTTCGTCAGAATAATCGTTGATTGGGTAGAAATTGCAGCAAGGCTTGCTGTTAGATCAGAACTACATCAGGAGGTTGTCAAAAGCCTTATCCTTAATGTTTTTTGTACCAAGAAGATTCTGATAATCCCTTCTCTTGATTCAGATTTTTAGGGGTATCAGAATGTCCCACAGAAGTTGTTTCCTGGGAGGGCGAATACCCCTAGAGGTTGACACTATGGTGAAACAATTGAAAGATTTAGATAAAGAAACGTTCAGAAGAATTCTTAAAGGTAAGTTTTAAATCAAGTGAAGGTTGACGTAACACTAGCTTGACGATTTCGTTTTCATTCTCGTTTGTTCAAACTTCACATGTATCTTGTGAACAGGGAAAACGCTGGAACGTTTAAGGGTTTGGCACTTCATACAGGACTTTGCAAACAAGCAATTTCTCCCTCCCACCTAAAATTCATAAATATACTGTGTCATTGTAATTTGTTAAAAAGTATGAGTATTTTGACTTTCCAATTATCAAGTTGAGTGGATACTTAAGAGGGTTTTGAAATCCGTTGAATGCAGTCTGTTGTCATTGTTCAGGATTACCTTGTATTTTCCCCTTATTTTGGTGAAACAAGTAATATGCGATTGTGTAATTATAAAGACTGCGCTTTCAGATCTGTTTTAATATTGGAAGATGAAGATGATATTTTTAAAATTGAGTGAAGTACTGTCTCACATACGATCCAAACATTCAAAGAGATCATATTTGTTGTTGTAGTAATAAGCATGATTGTGTCCCTCAGCTGTTGTGAATGCACTAGAAGGAAAAGACTGCAAGGAATCCGTCAAGCACATCACTGAAAACATGAGCCTGTCTGAGGAACAGCTAAGTTATATCCTATCAGGCATGTACACATTACTTAGAGAAGCTCTACGGTTACCACAGTCATCCCTTAAACAGGAGGTGAGTAATAGTGTAGGAAAGAGCTAGATGGTGAAATGCAATAGTGTACAGCTATTCCATGTAATAGTGTAAGAACAACAACAACAAAATTACATTGGTATAGCGGCTTTCACGTCAGGAGGACGTCCCAAGGCGCTGGACAATCAGTGTTTTGGACCCGAGCTGGGGGTGGGGGCAGAGTGGCTGATGGTGGGGTGGGCGAGGCGGGGGACATGAAACAGACTGAAGCCCGCTGAGGGGACAGGTTGGTAGGGGGTTAGGAGGTCGGAGATGTAGTGGGGAGCAAGGCCGTGAAGGGCTTTGAAAGTGAAGGAGGAAGGAGGTAGATGGTGAAATGCAAACTCGTGCAGGCAGCTGAAACTTTATTTGATACTTTGGAGTTTTTTTTTAAAAATTGTATCTGGTTTCTTTAAGGCATGATACAAAGTAAGTAACAATATTGAAGAAATGCAGTATAAATCATTAATTTAAACCTTTTCAGAGGAATCGACGAAAAATATTAGTGTTTTTTTTAAGTTGGGCTTATAAGTAGTTAATGTAAATTCAGATCAAGGAAGATGCATTCATGAGAATATTTGTCTATCTTAATTGTGCACTCATTATTGTTTTGCAACAACACCCATGTTGCACAACTGTATTTACAGGATTGATCTCAAAGGACATACAATACATCGTTTTATGTTCATGGTAATGATGTATTCCCAACCAGGAAAGGTTGTAATAGACAATCCATGGTTGATATGGAGCTGTACATTATTAAAACGTTTTATTGAGAGACAAAAACACATAGTTCACATGCACACACACGTATACTGTGGCAGGAACAATCATATTTTACATAAAAGTAGCTTTGGTTTGCCAATTGGAGCAGCTTATTGATGCTTTTTACTGTGTAAAGAAATTGCTGCTAGGCACATTGTTAGGACAGAGAAGAGGAGGTTTTAGTTATCATATGTGCATGTTATACCAAATTGGGGAGAACTTGATGCTGACACTAGGTGACAGAGGTATAAAAAAAAGTTCTGTTTCTACTATGCTTCGCCTTGATGTGTGTGTGTGTATATATATATATATATCTATATAGTATGTTAAAAAAGTGTAAAACCAATTATAGAATCGCTCTAGCTTTTACTCAATTGGGTTTACAAACCAATGTATATGTATTCCATTTTTATATAAATATCTTAATTTATAACAACCAGAAGTGTATATTTTAACACTAGCTGATTGGAATTTTATTTCCTCAGGTTTTTAAAGAAGACCTAAGGGATCTTCGGTATGTACAGCTGCTTTCTCAAACTATTACTGTTTTGATCTATCTGATTAGGAAGATAAGCAGTTTCATTACTGGCTCCTCTGAAGGTGTAGGTCCTCAAAAATGTGACTGAAGTATTTTGTACTACTGTGGTGTAATGTTCCCAAGTTGAAAGAATTAAGAAAGGTAAAATCTGCAAAACATAATGTGGTCAAAATATACATTATTTTTACATTATCCGGTGCTTCCTTTGTGCTCATTTCAGTGGAAAATCTGAGGAGGATAACCAGAACATTTATGTATGTGTCTTTGAACCCATGAGTAACGTAGGACATGAGCTGTATTCAGCTTGTAGCAATTTATGGTGCTCCTTTTCCTTTTTGGGACAATGAAATGTTATTCCTTTGTGCCTTTATTTGCAATGCCTTTAATTGCAACTAGATGGCAGAGGAGCTGTAGTATTTATTATTTTTAGATCAGTCCCCAGGGATTGGTGTCACGGTTTTAAAAGACTTTTTAAAAAAAACTCAAAAGCTGAAGTTTGCAAAGCATTAAATATTAAGCAACAGATATTCAGAAAGTTCTACTTTTATTCTTCTGTTTGCAAAAGATGAATGCAGTGTTTATCATCTCCATCTGGCTCTCTACAAATGTGGAATAATAACTATTCCACTTAAAATCCTTTAATATATATGTGATTTGTTTGCTAGGATTCATTATTGTTTTGCAGATTCAGTTTAGTTTGATTTGGTACTGTTTTATTTTAACCAACAAAAATGTTGACTGTGCGAGAACTCAGGCTATATTCTGCATACAGTGCAGCAAATTTAAGAAACTAAATTGAATATGTTGCAGAACCACCTGAAATTCAAATAATTACAAGACAACTTGAAGGATTTCAAGTAAAATCTATAAATTGTAGAGCACCAATTTTAGCCAGTTGTTGTTAATCACCATCAAATATTTATGTGATGTTGTTTGTCCTTTTGTGGTCAGCTGTCATTTGTATTTGTGTTACCGAGAGTAAGGCTAGTTAGAAGTAATTTCTTATAAATAAGGATATAAATATTGACACTAAAAATAAATGACCTATTTTAACTATGGGTATATTCTATATGCTATATTCTTGGAAAGCATTACTCATATTTGTATACTGTGGGACACAAATAAACAGTAATTTATTTGAAGGTACCTGTAATGTGAGAAATGAAAAACATCTTTTTAAATCATCCTTTCAGAGAGAAAATATGATTTCCCATTTAGTCAATTGTGCCAGACAGAACAATAGTTTGAGAGTTGTTATTTTAAAATATTACATTGACAGGACATAAAAGAATGTTTATTACCAGCACAGAATATCCTGTGAAGCACTTTGAGACGTATCACAATGTGATAAGGCACTATATTAAATGCAAGGTTTATTATTATTATTCTTACGAAGCACACTGATCATAGCTCCCTATGATAAAACAGTATCGACTGAGAATTAGCTAATAGTTTACAAAATGTATTTGTGTGTCATTGCAATATTTTTTTCAAAACAAAGAGCTCTATTAATCCAATCAATAGATAGTTGAAATGAACTTCAGTCACCTCAGTTAAAGCAGAAGACTACACTTGAGAGAAAAAACACGTTGTAAATAGATACCTGACAAAAGTTTCAAGTAACAGCAATCATAGGAATAGTCTATCTCAAAACTGATTTGATTTCATTTCGCAAATGTGTAATCATAGGAAGAGTGGTATAGCAACCAAGGATTATAAAGTGTTGGGCATTTATTTGCACATGCTAAGATTTTCTGTTTTTCATTAAAAATAAAAATGTGGTATAGACAGTATATGGAGCAATTCAGCCCATATTCACTTAGTATACATAAAGATCAGCAGGTATACTTGCATATTCTGTCACGCAGAATTGAAAAATTATTAGCAATTTGAATACTTTCAGCCTCATTCTTAGTAGACATTAACATGTTTATGATCAGAATTTACCTGATGCTAAGTGTGTTCTTATATTTCAGGATTCCAGAAGAATTTATTTCTGACTTTGCCAGTGTTGTTTTTGGTAACAGGTTAGTTAATAATTATGAATTGCCCAAATGCTGATATTAATATGGGTTACAACAATAATTATTTCCCAGAGAATGGATTTTGAATTTTAAGCCAGTTAATATTTTTCTAATTTTTTTTGAAGGGATTATTACTCCCGGAAAAGCGATCCACCAATCGATTAACAACCGGTTATCTACTTACTACTAGATAAACAGAGGCGGGTGGAGTTGGGAAACTTGCGTAATATTTTGCCCTGCTTGGAAATCGAACCCAGGTCCTCTCGCTTGTGAGGCGAGTGCTGTAACCGCTAAGCTACAGGACTCCACGATATATTGATATATAGTGATATAGAGATATAAGAATTAGATTTAAATGGAATTGCTGTTTTATCAAATAATATATTTTTAAAACAGCAACGTACAAGAAGAGTATGCTATCAATATTTGCATAAAAATTTCTAAGAATATGTATAAATATTCTCTGTTTTTAGTTCTGTTTTTTCATCCTTTTTGACATTTTAGGACATGAATACTCCCTACTCTTAAATATTAAAAAAAATGTAAAATTGGTCACTCAATCCACGACTGTTTGTGGGACACTGCTGTGCACAATTGGCTGCTACATTTCGCCCACAAAATATAGTCGATTCACTTTACAGTATATTCTGTGAAGTGCTTTGGGATGTCTCAAAGACATGATAAGGCCCTTAATCTTTCTCCTCGTCATCACAGTTTTTTATTAAGACTTGACGGATTTTGGTTGCCAAAATAGTCGCTTAAAATGTAGTAGTTTAATCATTTCAAACACTTCGTAATATTATCCTTTTTGTATTTTTTAAGACGTTCAGTACTGGAGGCTGCAGCTTTACAGCAAGGAACTCGATTGCCTGGTATTGAAGACTTTAGGTGGCGAGTTGATGTAGCTATTTCTTCAAGGTAAACTTTATCCATATGAATCATTTTTCTGTTTATTTTAGTGAATGTGAATGTGCATTGGCATCTGCTGTTTGATTGCTGTAGTATAGGATCAACCAGCAAAAGATAGTACAAGTCTTAAATATTCTCCATGGAAGTGTTTGGAACAGAAAATGCAGTTGGGAAATAGAACGTAGGAGATGTGACATTTCTGTCCCTTGCAAGCGGTAGGACAATGTACATACATAATGGTATATATTTAAACAAACAAAAGTTTGCCAAATATTTACTATGAAGGTGGTGCCCTTTAGAAATGTAATGCAAGGGTATTATGATTATGTACATGATCAAAGTCTGCCTCTATTCTCTCTGGTATCCTGCATGGTGCAAAGTTGTCTTTAAAAATAACTGCCATCTGTGATTCATCTGGATAACTCAAAACCCTGTTGGCCACAGTCGTGAATTATAATATTCATGGTATTATTAAAAGCCATAGCACAAATAGCAATTGGTGTAATTGACAACCTAGGATGGTAAATAGAACTTATCCAAACTTATGATCTAACCTTTATATGGGGCAACACTCAGCCAACTTGGTATTGATATTTGTTTCTTGCGCAGTGATCCTAATCGGAGGAAGTGCTTAACAAATTAGATTTTCTCCTTTTGCATTGACACAAATTTTCTGTTTGCAGCTCTTTGGCTCGTGCACTACAGCCTTCTATACTGATGCAATTAAAGCTATCTGATGGCAATGTTCATCGTTTTGAAGTAAGTATTTGCAGCGCGTTGTGGATTAATCTTAAGTCATGTGAATGACAGCAACAGCATGTGCCTTTTCATTGTTTCCGGTCTTGTGCTTTGGGATCTTTGGGTGGGCCCAGGACGGTTGTTGCTTGTGTTCAAGCCACATCTGCAACTATTCAGGAAGTGTGATGGGTAATTTCTGTTACTGACCTTGGCAGTGCTGCTCATACTGGATGCCTTGGGCAAGATGCCCAAGAGAAGTCTTGGAGCTCATTACTGGAAACAGATTACGTATTTCTATCATGTAGGGTTTAGCATGGCTGATGTCATTTTACAATTGGTCTGTTAGATCCCATATGCATTTGATTGAGTTCAATCTTGCTGACTTATACTATGGAATATCTCCAGGATTGAAGAACAATGTTTTGGGGGTACAAAGGATAAAAGAAATTGAAGTGGAAGAAAGGAGAGGAAAGAAAAATGAGATGAAAGAGTGATGAAAAAAATTGGTGCTATATTTTGAAAGCAAGCCCAATGCCTGGTGATAAAATTGACACATTTGTTTAATCTGTTGAATGCTGTGATGTATTTATTAAGGGACAAACAAAAGCGAGGTGGTGCCAAGAGAGTCAGGACAGCAGCAGCATAAGATTAATAAAGAACAAGGATAAAGAGTATTGCAGAAATACAAAATGAAAGACTTGTAATTTTGTTGTTGTTTTTAAATAAATAAACCCAAATTAAGGGGATTGAATGGAGAGAAGATAGATAGTGCATTGTTGGCCATACTGCAGGAAAAAAGCATTGTTCTGAAACTGTTTTATTTCCAGTCACTCAGTGTTTGTATTTGCAGAGATTGTGATTTTTTTTAAACAAGCATTGTATGAAATTGGTTCCTAAACTAAATCCTCATGTAATTTACAGTCATTTAATCCCCAATCTTGGTGTTTCCTAAGCAGTTCTTGTTATCCTGCTACCTGTTTTTTAATCCTATACAGTGCATTGCACTATGGACTTCGGCCCATTCCTTAGGGTTCTCAGTAAAAATTATATAAGTAATATCAGTTCCTGTAAAATTCCATGGAATTGTGTAATTGTCACATGACATAATATCAATCATGTTTTAGTTGTAGGGCAATCTGTCATCTGGTATTTGTTCTCTAGTGTTTTGTCAAACACTTATATTCTGGTTACATAGACTGATACAGCACAGAAACGACCATTCAATTCAAATAGTCAGTGCCAGTATTTATACTCCACGAGTCACTGCCCCTCACTATCCCCTCTCCCAGACATACCCCTCTATTCCCCTCTCCCTCATGTAGCCTTGTATGCATCTCCCTCACAGTTGTACATCTATCTTTGTATCAGAGCATTAATGCTTCTCGTGACAGCTCAGATGATATTGGCTCAAGCACTTATGGTGTTTGTTTGTGCATTGCAAAGCACTGCTACATATATATGTTTCCTTTATGTAACTGTGCTATACTCTTTCAATAATCAATGTGGAAAAAAATTAATTGAATTACTGTGTATTGTTCATTCAATGGCCAGATGCAGTTGGAAGGAAGCTAATATCTACTTGGAGCAATGCCACTTGAGGGAATTGTTGCCCTCGTGTTACCATTTGAGCCTTATAATGAAGATTAGGGTTTATGCAATTAATGGTAAATTAGCTAATTGGATTGAAAGCTGATTTAAATGTATAAAGTAGAAATGGGAAAGATTATTTAATAGACAGTGATTAGTGAAGCCTACAAAGACCTATTCCACTTCTGTTCATTGGAGGGGTTTTTTAAGCAACTCTGCAAAACTAAGCATGTTTCACATACAAATTAAATGTTGGAAATTGCCAATACAGAGCAAACATGCATTCCTCCAGGAAAAAATATCTGAACTACTCAATAACTGAAGCAAAGAATTTAATACCAGGACTTAATACCAACCAATGTTAAATATTACAGCAATAAAGCTTCTCAAACATCAGAAGTAGCTAATTAATAATTATTGCATTTAATATAGCTCCTTATTACATTTTTGAGATGTCTCAAAGCACTTCATAGAATATACTGTAAAGTGAATTAACTGTTTTATGGGCGAAATGACTGAACATTAAGCAACTGAAATAAACTTCTTACCTAGTTTGCTCATTCTCCTTTTACTTATTTCTCATATTCTGTTAATTTTTTGAATTAATGGGGTCTTGTTACACTTGCAATGAGCTAATCTCAATGTACACAGAAGGCTTTGAAGCAAAATTAGTGAGTTTCTTGTGTTCGCTTATATGTTCAGTTCACTAGTTTTTTGTGCTTTATTTTCAGGTACCAGTGGTGAAGTTCCAGGAATTGAGATATAATGTTGCACTTATCCTTAAAGAAATGAATGATTTGGAAAAAAGAAGCATTCTGAAAATTCAAGATTAATTTTTTTTCACAAAGTTTTTTCTAATAAACCTTTAAAGTCGTGATTAATATCTTTAATCAGGAACTCACTTGTAGCCATTAAAATATACTGTATATATTTGTTAAAGCTGCAAAACATATAAACTTTAATCATTTTGAGGCATACATGTTCCGAGGACCAATTGTGGTTTCAACATTCATATTTATTTCTAAAATTATTAGATTAAAAATATTTTTGCACAGAAGATCAAGGTACATCTATTGATGTACTTTCAGAGTCTCTGTGGCACAAGTTGGGTCATTTTGCCATTTCTACATGTTAGCCATGCCCTACACTTTCTGGTTGTTGGCTTGAAATGCTTGCACATTTTTATTTACTCAACCGAATGCCTGACACATTGCGGAAACCATCACCTTGCTTAAGTGTCTCCAAATCCAACTGAAAGTTCCATGCATCCCATCTGTACAGGGAAATTCCAAAGATATTTATTGGGATGGGAAATGTGCACTCTCCCTGGAGAGACTCATACTGCTTACCTAATTCCAGAAAGTATTAGTCACAGGTTGGCAAAAAATAAGGCTTGGGGTGTGCAATGCTGTTGCAGTCTAACCAGCTAAAACTGCATAGCTGCCATTGATAGTGTTGTCTGGCAAGCTTTCCTGCTGCTTGTCCAGTTAGGACCACACTACCTGTTAGGGCTTTGGCTTGCAGCGTTAACGGGAAATGAGTGGAACAGTGTCAGGACTGCCGACGTGAGCCAACTAGGCTGTGTTATCACTAGCAGTGCCCTGGGGTTCTGTGGACCTTACCTGGCTCAGTAACCAGACCACAGGGACTGCCATAGAGGGTGGGGTCGATTCTAACATTCCTTGCCAAACATGTCACCTTGGAGCTTATTTTATTCCACTGTTCATTTTTGTTTTTTGAAGCTATTCTACTCATAATATGATGCACAGTAAAGGATTCAAATTGTTCTTTCCACTTTATATGCAATAAAACGGGAATAATTTATCAAGGAAATCTATCGTGACTATTTTTGTTTTCTCTTCCGTTTCCCTTACTCATCCGAAATCTGTAAGTAATGTCTGGTCTAAGGCCCACTTAAAACTCATCTGTTGCCACTGGCTGGAAAAAAATGTCTTCTACTAACTTACTTTAGTCTATTGGTACAATTGGTTGAAATGGCCATTCTTTGCATATATTCTTTGAATGAGCTTAGTAGTGAGTCTTTTAGGCGTGGTCAGCTATCAAAAGGAATTCAATTGTAACTTCACTACATGTTCATACCTGTACTTCATTCCTAGACTTTGACAACTTGACCCTCATTGTTTGAAACACATCTTTCCTCCTCAAAAACATCAGCTCGTTGGCAAGCACAAGCCTCTGCAAGACTGGAAAACTACATCATAGCTGGGCAGCTTCTTGAAACAATTCTTGCACTCTTATACAGGTTACAGAGAAAAACGGTGTAAAAGGATCTTGCTCTTGCCTCCAGCCTTCATCTCACTTTCACTGCACCTTTATTGCCTCCTCTATTAATACTGTTCTGGACAAGGTATCTGCCCGCTTTGCTCAGTTGCTAGCACTCGCCTCGGTCAGAAGGCTGTGGGTTCTTACCATACACTGGTCATAGCATAGGCTGATACTCCAATGCAGCATCGAAACTGCTTCATAGCTGGAGGTGCTTTTTTTTCAAAATTAAGGTTAAAACTGAGGACCCATTTCCCAAATGTTTAATAATAATAATCTGCATTTGATATAGTGCCTGATCACATCTCCGAGACACCTCAAAGCGCTTCACAGAATATACTGTAAAGTGAATTGACTATTTTGTGGGCGAAACGCGAAAGCCCATGAAACTATTTGAAAACACAAAAGGAATTTATCCTGGTGTCCTGGTCGAAAATCCTCCAGGTTAATTGGTCTAATTAATTACCTCATGTCTCAAAGTTTAAAGAAGACTTGCAATATTATAAGTCCTTGACAGGAAACTAATGCCGAGGGCAGTCGAATATTTTTGTGGCAAACCAGAAAGGTAACACAAACAGCCATGAAGTAAATGCTGTAATGTGTAGGATTGTTGGCCAAGATACTTGGAGAAAGTCCTCTTTTCAAATAGTGTAAGGAGTTTTTTTAAGGTCCACCGGAACAGACAGACTTGTAATGGCAGCAACTGCTTTCTCCTTGGAAAAGCTGCCTATCCTTGATCAACTGCAGATGATGCGAACATCTTTTCAGCCATGATAAACCTACAACAACAACTTGCCCTTATATAGCGCCCTCAACACAGGGTAGCATCTCAGAGCGCTTAACAGTGGCGGAGCCTGAGTCCAAGCCGGGGGAGGGGGGGAGGTGACCGTAAGCAAGGTCGAAAAGGAAGGTTTTCAGGCAGGAGTTCAAAAAGGAGAGGGTGGTGGGGGGGGCAAGGCGGAGGGATTGAGGAAGTGTGTTCAATAGTTTAGGGGCGTAAACCTAATTGAATACACATGGCTTACAAACACTTTAAAATGTACGTGACTTGTAATGTTAAAAGTTTATGTAACTTATTTTCAGTTAGGTAACCATTTGTTATATAACTAATTCCCTAAGTTAAATCTTAAGGTGAGGGTTTTGACTCTCCACGATTAAAACAATAGATTGCTTTTACAGATATTTAGTTTGTGTGAAGCTGTCTTTTTCATGTTTATTTAAAGCAGTGGTCAGAAGATGATGTAACAGTTTCATTTAGAGTGGGGGAAAAACTGTTGTCTACTTATTCTTTCCTGCTTGAGGAATTACATAGAATGACACAGCTTGAACACAGGACATTCAGAACAAAGTCTGTTCTGGAGATTATTTGACAGGTCAGATGGATACAGCAATTATTTGAAGAGAATTAAACTCGTGTTCAATTCTGCGGGGGGGGGGGAGGAAATAACATTCAGGTTGTCCACAGGAAGTTCGAGCAGAATTATAAAATATTTTATGTAAAGTAGCACGGAGCAATGCATTACACAAGACGTGTATACATTAGAATGCATTAGTCCAACCTCGCGCAAATGGCCCAGAAAAATAAAGACATCTTATGTCACTGATCGTGGTAGCTATGCGCAGCCCACCCAAAAGTCTAAACTTTTAAGTCTTTTTGGTTTTCATTCAGGTGACCTGCAAAAACAAAAAAAGGATATTTATTACAGAGGAGGTGCTGTAACAGTTACATGTCCTTTTTTTTGTACGAAAACCAAAAAGAACATAAAATGCTTAAAAGAGTGTGTAGGTCAAAGTCACGAAATATGAGTTGTAAACATATCTCAGCGTTTGAGTGCTTCAGTGTTCACATCAAACTCAAAAATGACTGGAAACGTAGCAATTCCCCCCCGTCCCCCGAAAAAATAATGGTTTTATGCAACGAAAGGCGATATCAACAATTGTATCGGTCATATAAATGCAAGTTATTGTTGTGTTAATAACGCGAGTCATTTGTTGCCGATTTCACTTGGCTCTGAGTTGCATTCCAATCCGACGACTTCGGGCAGACGACGCAAGAAATTAAAAAGAAATCAAAAAGGTTGCACTGTACATTTCAGCTTGTGATCTGTCCTGCAAACCCCCCCACCCCCACCCACCCACCCACACAACCCCTACTCTCCCCCCCTTCTCCTCTCCCTCCTTTCTCTCTCTCTCTCTCACTCCCTCTCTCAACGTGTGCAATTGCTGAAAAACGCAGTCAGTTGCAATCACAGAAACAGGACTACATAAACCCCCAATAATTCAACCCCTCCCCCAAAACCCCCCACCCCCACCCACCCCCCCCCAAAAAAAACCTCCAAACAATATAATGTTTCAGAAGTTGCTGGTTTTGTAACAGTCTGAGTCAGGCCAATGGGATCTAAGGCAGAAACGTCATGTGATGTTTTATATAACACTTTTTTTTAGGGGTGGGGGGAGGTTAACGGTGTCTGTAAGGGGTGTGGGGTGGGGTGGGGGGGGGGTGTGGAGTGTGGGGGAGGGGAGGGGGGGGGGGTTCCCCTCTTTTGCACTGGGAGTGGGTAATAAAAGAAGCACTCGGGAGCCACACGATGAGAGTCGTCTTGGTTGGGTTGGAGGGATCAGTTTGACAGCGTTTGTTTTTCTTGGGGGGGGGGGTGTGTGTGTGGGGGGTGTGTGTGTGTGTGTGGGGGGGGTGTGTGTGTGTTTGTGAGTTGGTTTAAATAAAACAAACACACACACACACACAGAGAGAGAGAGAGAGAGAGAACACAACCCAACCCCGAGCTCCCAGGACAGGGACAAGGGACGTGTTGCTGGAGTGCGCAGCAGAGCAGAGCAGAGCCAGGCACCGCCCGCTGGCCCTGGAGATCCTCCAGAGGTGGCAGCCCCCCCCCCCCCACCCCTCCTCACACACCCCCCCCCCCCCCACCCCCGGACCCGGACCCCAAGACAAGTCGACTGCCTTGGCCATGGCGGACCGCCTGAGCCGAGCCCTGGCGGGGGGCCACCGGCCGGACTCCGGGCGCCGGAGGCTCGGACCCCAGCAGCTGGACTGGCTGGTCAGCTGCTTGGCCGGGAGCGTCGGGAGGAGTCAGGGCTGGGGGTCCAGGCACCAGGACCCCCCTCTCCCTCCCCCTCCCCCTCCCCCCGCCTGCCCGGTGCTGGCGTGCGGCATGTGCTCGGGGATGCTGTACGAACCGGTCACTCTCTGGTGCGGCCACAGCTTCTGCAAACACTGCCTGGAGAGGGAGAGGGAGCGGGAGGCCGGGGACAAGCCGACCCCCTGCAAACTTTGCCAAGAGGGGGGGGAGGAAGAGGAGAAGGAGAAGAAGGAGGAGGAGGAGAAGAAGAAGAAGAAGGAGGAAGAGGAGGAGGAGGAGAAGAAGAAGAGAGAGGAGGAGGAGAAGCACCCGCCGCCCGGGGGAGATGTGGCTGAGATGGACGCGTACAAAACCAATGTGGTCATCAGCAGTTTGTTGACCAAGTGGTTCCCGTCGGAAACCAGAGCTCTGGGATACAGATACGAGGGCAACGCTCTGTACAGAACCAAACAGCCCCGCGCCGCCCTCCACAAGTACAACCAAGCCATCGCGTTAGGTAACGGCGCTCCGGGGGGGAGAGGGGGGGGGGGGGCTGTGTGCGGGGGGTCTGTGTGTGGGGGGGGGCTGTGGGTTGGGGGTCTGGGGCTGTGGGTGGGGGTTTGTGTGTGTGTGGGGGGGGTGGTGGGGCTGTGGGGGGGGGGGGCTGGGGCTGTGGGGGGGGGGGCTGTGTGGGGGGGGCTGTGTGTGTGGGGGGGGGGCTGTGGGTGGTGGGGCTGTGTGGGGGCTGGTGGGGTGGCGGGGGAGCTGGGTGGGGGGGGAGTGCTGTGGTTTGGGGGGGACTGTGGTTTGGGGGGAGCTGTGGGGTGGGGGGGGAGCTGGGGCTGTGTGGGGGGTATTGCTATGTGTGGGGGGGGCTGGGGCTGTGGGGGGGGGCTGGGGCTGTGGGGGGGGAGTGCTGTGTGGGGGGGGCTGTGGGGTGGGGGGGGCTGGGGCTGTGTGGGGGGGAGTGCTGTGTGTGGGGGGGGCTGGGGCTGTGTGGGGGGAGTGCTGTGTGGGGGGGGGCTGTGGGGTGGGGGGGGCTGGGGCTGTGTGGGGGGAGTGCTGTGTGTGGGGGGGCTGGGGCTGTGTGGGGGGGAGTGCTGTGTGTGGGGGGGGCTGGGGCTGTGTGGGGGGAGTGCTGTGTGTGGGGGGGGCTGTGGTTTGGGGGGGAGCTGTGGGTGGGGGGGGAGCTGGGGCTGTGGTGGGGGTAGTGCTGTGTGTGTGTGGGGGGGTGGGGGGGGGGCTGTGTGTGTGGGGGGGGCTGTGTGTGTGGGGGGGGGGGCTGTGTGTGTGTTTATTATTTTGGGCGCTTGTTGTGGTTTCGCTCGTCTATCGCAAGAATGCGCCCCCCCCCCCAATAATAATATAACGCGTACGTTGCGGGTCGGTGTCTTTCTCCTGTCTCCAAACTGCGCCTGTGGTGGGGGGGGGGGGGGAGTAGTGGGGTCTGGGGGTGGGGGGTGGAGGGGGTGTAGATAAGGGGGTACAGCAATGATTTGATGTGCAACTCGCTTTGGAAGTTGTTGGTCTGCAAGGTGCAAATTGTTGGTGTGTGTGTGTGTTTTGCTTTTGAAAATAAAATATATTGCCCCCCCCCCACCCCCAACCCCAAGCCCTCATTATGGGACAGATGGAGAGAAAAGAGAGACAGACAGAAAGAAACCAAAAAAAAAAGAAAGAAAGCGTCAGAATGACAGTATTAATATGGTTTCCAGACTAAAAGCACTGATGGTGTTAAACACAAAATGCAAAAGTGTGGGGGGGTGGGCGGGGGGGGGGGGGGGGATTATGTTTCCAGCAAAAGTGCTTGTTGAGGAATAGTGTTGTATTGAGGCTAGCGGAGCAGGGCGTGTTGTATAAGGCATGATCTAGTCTGGCATCGTGTCATACCCTATTATGCAGCGACTGTTGTATAACCTGGGTGTAAGAATTGGGTCAAACAAAAAAAAAACTTCGAGACGTATTGCTTTACACACGCAACTCCCATTGAAAAGGTCAGGCACAGGCGAGGAATAAAATAAATGCATAGGTTTTCCTTCCACCCCACCACCACCCCCCCCCCCCCCCAATTTCTCCTCTCCAATTTAACTGGGAATTGAAATTCAACTTCGAAAGAACTGAACTCTTAAAACCGGTCGATAATTCTTTTTTTTTTTTTAAAAATGTGTTTCTTCCGAAAGCAAAACCATTCGACAGCTCCTCCTTACACGCTCGGCCGAGCAGTCAACAACGACAACAACAACGACTTGGGTTTATATAACAGCCCTTCGCACGGGATAGTGTCGCAGAGCGTTCAAACAGTGGCGGCGGCTGATGCTGAGCCGGGCGGGGTGGGGGGGGGTGTGTGGAGGTGGGGGGGTTTGTGGTGGGGAGAAGGAGGAGATAACCGTAAAAGGAAGGTCTTCAGCCAAGCAGAGGATTGATTAATCCTGCTGGTTGCAGGATCAGAACCGGACAAATGAGTCAAACAGACTCATTTCATTTGGGTTTCAGTGTAACGTCTCCATCCTGTGGTTTGACTGAGGATTGACAGAGCTGAGACGAAGGGAGATGGTCAGCTCTTCTCTTAATTGGCGTGAGCTCCAGCACCCCTAACCACCTTCAGCTACTGTTTCTTTTTTTGTAAAAAAACATGTATGTACATTGCAAAGAAAATCAGCCAAAGACCAATATCAATATACAGGAATGGTGTCAAAAAATATCCATAGAAACTATCCATTCAACGGTGGGTGGTCAATTTTGAAACCCTCTCACTTCTTAAAAGTGGTAAATATAAACCTGAACAATTTACAAAGGATAGCAAGTTTAAAAGGGTATTGACTTTGTGTTAAAGATTGAAACTTATTGCAGAACAAAGACATTGCAATGCCAATCATTCTCAAGCAAGTATCACTGAGGCTTTAGTGCTCCGAGACCCTGACCCGCACTATATAACTGCAAGTTGTTCTCGTTGTTGTTTAGTCATTTCATAGTTAAACCAATGATCAAATTTACATTTGCTCCATTTTCAGCACCAAAAGACCATTTACTGTACAGTAACCGTGCACAGATTAATGCAACTCTGAAATATTTTGAAGATGCACTGCGCGATGGAGACACTGCTTGCAGACTGCAACCGTTCTGGCTGAAGGTGAAACATTCTGCACTTTAACTGAGACAGAAAATTCCACAGCATCGTGTTTCCAATTGGCATCTTTTGTAACTTGAACATTTTTAATCTGTGTGTTTTTTGTCTTGAGGGTCATTTAAGAAAAGCTCAAGCACTAGCCGGTCTGCAGAAAATGGACGAAGCTTTAAGGGAGTATCTGCTCTGTATCGCTTTGGATCCGGAATGTAAAATAGCGAGAGTGGAAGCTCAGAAGGTAATCAAACATTTTGGCGTGTAATAATAGTATAACACAAATCTTTAAATATTAGATACACACAATTTTCTCAAGTTATAGTTTCACTGTTAGAACCTCAGAGTGGTAAATATAGATTAAATCAAAACTTCATAAAAATGCACTTTCTCAAGCTGTGCTTTAACTAACTGTACTTCAAGTATTCAATCTTGTAGTACATTATTAAAGAAAAGGCATGGCACAACTGTTGATATGAGAATTGCCTGACAAAATTCCAGTTTAACCAATGTTACATTTATTGCATTTTTAAAATTTAATATTCATTACATTTAAGTGGTTATCAATCCCGCATCATTTGTGGGTTTTTTTTCTAGATCCTTTGTGATTTGTTTTCATCCATTCCTGAATATGTGCATGAAAGGTTACCCGATGCATTATCTCCACGAGATAGAATTAAGGGAACATTCTTGAACTCTCTGAGTTCCAGCAGCCTTATTGAAAGGCCACTTAAGGTAGGTTTAATGAGAAAGGTGATGTGATTTTCCATTCTTTATGTAGATGTTCACTTTTAAATGCTCTAGTTCCGGGAATTATAATGCAAAATATCATTATTAGAAAACACTTTGAATAATGTAGACAAAGATGTGGAGATACTATAAACAATTTATTTCCTTATCAATAATTTGACTATGTTTTAGTTAAACCAAAAGTACTCTCTTCAGACATTAACAAACCCAGTTACACCAAAACATGTTAACGGTATGGATTGGGTTAGTTCAAACAAAGCACAGCAATATTGTAATGAGTAAAATTGTGTTTTGCTCACGAGCTGTAAGATCACAAACCTTTGATCAACAACAGAGCTGTACCATACAACACAGTACTGAAATGCAAATAATAATAATACTTGCATTTGATATAGCGCCTTATCACGTCTTCTAGTCTCGTCCTGCAGAATACACTGTAAAGTGAATTGATTATATTTTGCGAGCTCTCTCTCTCTCTCTCTATATATATATGTATATACATGTAACGAGGTGTCCTTATATCATTCTGCTGTAAGACTTTGTTTAAGGAATTGTGGTGCATTCCTTTGCTTTATTTTCTTAAAGGCAAATTCTGAAAAAGCTAATTGTGGTATCACACAAGAAGAATTGAAACCTCATTTATGCAGTAACCTAACTAAGCTAGCCCCAGTGGTGAATGACAAATGCCTTTGCCTCAACAATGAAAAGACACGGAAGAGTTCACCTCCTGAGATAACCATGAATATATCTGAAACAGCTAACGTTCGGAAGAGAAAAACTTTTTTTGTTGGAGAAGATACACCTGGAACCACTGAAAGCCTTAGTAAATACCTTAAGCAAGGTACAGTATTCAGTTACATTAATCTGTTGCGAGATAGATCATGTTCTTTGAGTGCTTTGAGACACCAGCTATAGAAGTGTAAATTGTATTATATAATATGCTTATTACTGTGTGCTGCTAATCATTCTCAATGCAGAGAGATTTAATTTCTGATAATCACATATTATCTGTGCAATATTGAAACGGCATAAGTAATGTTCAGAAAAAGTTGCAAAATGTGTCTACACCAGAAAAAAAATCATGTATTGAGGACAAAATGTATTGGATTTATTGTCATTAATATTTTGTTGAATAACTTTGATGATGAATCATAGTGTTTGAGATGTCTTTTGATTTATTCATAGATGCTGGCAGCCAGGGTACATACACAGAAGAACACAGAGTTCTTTCAGAGCTCGTGGATCCAATTGACCTGGAGTGTTCCCTGTGTATGAGGTATATATGTAACTTTCTAAAATCATTGTTTCATATTAATTACCTTCTTTTTAAACAAGGGTTTCAGGATGATTGAAGTCTTAAAGTAGCAGAAACATGTAATTTTAGTGCCAGATATTTAATTAGTGAGATCTTTTTCATTTACTGTGGTACAGTGCCACAGGCACCTTCAATCATTTGGTGCCTGTTAAGTAACCATTTTTTATGTGTAAAAACAGTGAGTGTTGGCAGGCTATTCAAGCATGGGAATATCACAGCCAAGCCTGTCCTCACCTGATGCCCATATATAGCGCAGTTCACTTTGCAGTTAAAAAAAGAACAAAGATGTCTGCAGCATGCTAAGGATTAATTATACTGATTTAAAACATATCCTTTATTTCAACTGCAGGAAAACATGCAATGTAAGAACATCTGTCTTTCAAGTTATACAAATCATTTCCAGATGAAACTCACAATCGCAGAGAATACACCCCCTTCAAGTTTTTAAATCCATTTCCAAAATTCTGCAGTGTCAAGTGAAGCTGCCTATTTACTGCAGCTGAACTTGAACTTGTCCTTCATTCATTTCAGTCAATCATTGAAACCCTTCCAGCTTGTCCCCTAACAGGATGTACTATGCCTTGGCAAAACATTTGGAACAAAAGGATGACGCTCGGTTTCAAAATGTTCCTTCAAATGAGAAACCCCATCAACAGACTTAAGGGTATCCAAACCAAACCTGGGGTTCCATGCATCTCACCTATGCAGGAACATTCCAGAGATGGATTGCACACTCTCCCTGGAGGGATGCACCCTGCTTAACTCATTTCAGAGAGTATTAAGCGCAGGTTGGCAAGGGCCAAGGCTTGGGGACCCGGAGTATGTGTTGGGGTAACTGCTGGAGTCCAACCAGCTAAAACCACTGGTTTTAATAGCCATTGATAGCACACTCTGGCAAGCTTTTCTGCTGGTTGTCCCCAACTAAGACCATTCTAACCTGTTAACTGCCCCCGGTGACTGGTCTGCCCTTCCAAGTCCTGCCAATGAGCCAGGCTAGATGTGTTGTCATCAGTAGAGCCCTGGAATAGTGTGGACCCACCTGGCTCAGGAACTTGACAGCTGAGACTACCACAGTGGGTGGGCTTGATTCTAACATTCTTTACCAAACATGTCACCTTGGAGCCAGTTCAGCCTCAACCTGTCCCACACGTTCCTCATGATCAAACCACACACCTCCAATGTATTTGATACAATTGCATTGACTGCTGAAATAAGTAAGTTCCTTCTATAGTTCTTGGTCTCATTGGTTATAATTAACACATCACATGTCCTATTTTATACATCTATATTTCAACAACAGCTTGCATTTACAACGTCCTTCACACAGCATATCAGACCACTTAAAACAATGGTGTGGTTTGACACCGAGCTGGAGGTGGAAAAAAGGGGAGGTGACCAAAGACATGGTCATAGAGGAAAGTATTCAGGTGTGATTTGAAGATAGGCAAAGACGGGTCAAGTCAGAGAGATTTAGGCAGGGAGTTCCAGAGGTTCCGGAGATTTTCTAGTTTAGCATGAAATTTTGGGGTAATACTCTAGTTTTATTAACCCTTCATGGGTGCTAACCAAGCAGTCACTTTCATTTTGCAAGACATTGGGGTCTGTTTCCTGTTTGTTTAATTTCAGGTTGTTCTATGAACCCATCACCACGCCCTGTGGACACACCTTTTGTCTGAAATGTCTCGAACGATGCCTGGATCACAGCCCAAAATGTCCTCTTTGTAAAGAAGGGCTGCCTGAGGTAACTTTGTATGTGTGTCAGCCTGCTGCAATGGTAGCAGTCTCCTCTCTTGAGTTAGAAGCTTGTGGGTTCAATCCCCACTTTGGGACTTGGAATCACATAGTCTTAGAGGATGACACTCCAATGCAATGCTTTGCATTGACACTCCAATAGGGATGTTGCATTATCGGATGGGATAAAGCCATAAGAACATGGAATGCTGTGTCACAAGGTGCTATTGAACCTAAGTCCACAACAACAGTAAAAAGGGAACTGGATATCATAAAATCATAGAATTTTACAGCACAGAAGGAAGCCATTTGGCACATTGTGTCTGTGCTGGCTCTTTGAAAATAGCTATCCAATCAATCCCACTCCTCCGCTCTCTCCTCATAGCCCTGCAAACTTGTCCCCCCCAAATAATTATCTACTCTTTTAACGGTTGTTACCAAATCGGCTTCCACCACCCTTTCATGCAATGCATTCCAGATCCAAACAACTCGCTGTGTGAAAACATTTCTCCTCGCCTCCCCTCTGTTTCTTTTAACAACTATTTTAAATGGTATCCTCGGGTTACCAACCCACCCGCCGGTGGAAATAGTTTCTCCTTGTTCACCCTATCGAATCCCCTCATAATTTTGAAAGCTTCTATTAAGCCTCCTCTTAACCTTCTCTGCTTCAAGGAAAATAATCCTAGCTACTCTAGCCTCTCCTGATAACTGAAGTCCCTCATTCCTGGTATCATCCTGGTCAATCTTCTTTGCAGCCTCTCCAATGCCTTGACATCCTTCCTAAAGTGTGATGCCCAGAACTGAACACAGTAATCTAGCTGAGGCCTAACCAGTATTTTATAAAGGTTCATCGTAACTTCCTGACTTTAGTATTCTATGCCCCTATTTATAAAGCCTAGTATCCTGTATGCTTCTCTAACAGCTTTATCTACCTGTCCTGCCACCGTCAAAGATTTTCTTATATGAACCCACAGGTCTCTCTGTTAATTCACCCCTTTTTAAGATTGTACCATCAGCTTATATTGCCTTTCCTCATTCTTCCTCCCAAAATGCATCACCTTGCATTTCTCCACATTAAACTTCATCTGCCACTTGTCTGCCCATTTTACCAGACTGTCTATGTCCATTTGCAGTCTGCTACTATCCTCCTCACTGTTTACTACTTTTCTTAGCCTAGTATCATCTGCAAACTTGGAAATTGTACTCCCAATACCCAAGTCCGGGTCATTTATATAGATCAAAAACAGCAGTGGTCCCAATACTGACCCCTGAGGGACACCACTGCACATTTCCTTCCAGTCAGAAGATCAACCATTCACCACCACTCTCTACTGTCTGTCTCTCAGCCAGTTCTTTATTCGTGCTACCACTGTCCCTTTAATACCATGGGCTTCTATTTTGCTTACAAGTCTCTAATGTAGCATTTTATCAAGCAACTTTTCAAAATCCACATAAACTACATCAACTGCACTACCTTCATCCACTTTCTCCTTTACTTCATCGAAAAGCTCTATTAGGTTTGTTAGACATGATTTGCTTTTAACAAATCTGTGTTGGCTGTCCCTTATCAACCCATATTTTTGTAAGATTGGCTATATTTAGGTTAATTTGAGTAAAACCAAATTAAACAACACCGTGATTCTATCTGGACATGTCAGTAAATGCAAGGTTTTACACTATGAGAAAGGAGACTTAACAAAGATATCTCTTGTCTATTTTCTGCAGCATCTGGAACTGAGAAAGTACAACAAGACTGTTCTAATAGAGGAACTAATTGCTCATTACTTGCCTGGAGAACTTGCAGAAAGAAAAACTGTCTATGAGGAAGAGGTGGCAGAATTGTCAAGGTAGACAAGTTTCATGTAAAATCCTAACAAATTAGGATATTTTGTCATCAGTATTCCCCTTTAAAAGACAAACTGTTAAAAGAGTTATTGACCTAGCACCACCAAAACGTATGTTTATATAGCTCCCTTCATACAGGTAGTTTTTCAGAACACTTTTTACCAATCTATTTGTGTTGGTGTTTTCAAATGCCTTTGTTGAAATGGTGAGCGCTGATGGAATTTACCAGAAGCTCAATGATATGAATCAAATTCACAATTAAAATTAACCGACACACTTTTCAAATGACCAGATTGTTAAACCAAAATGGGTTAATCACTGCAACGACTGACTCTTCAGTACCAACCAGCCTAGCTCATGAGCAGAACTCAGAGGAGACAGGGATTCATCCAACTTGAATCCTCTTAACCCTCCAAGTTAAAGCCTTAAAGGTTAGGGTGATCCTAGCTGAAAAAGCAATGGGAAACTTGTCACACAATGTTTGCAATGGTGAGCTTTGTAGTTTTAGCTGCTTAAACATCCATGGTACTTAAACGTAAACTCTGGGATCCTTGGTTCTTGCCAACCTGCACCTAATACTTTCCAGAATTAGCTAAGTAGGATGTGGTGCTTCTATGGATAGAGTGAGTACTCCATTCCAGACAAAGGCAAATTGCCGTAATTTGGTGTCATGCATATGTTGAACTCTCAATTTGTTTTTGAAACTTTTAAGCATGGTGGTGGTTTTCTGTGTGGGTCGAACATCTTGTTGACAAAGGAAAAGAAAGCTATATATTTCTCTTAAAAATAGCAACGCTGTAAGTTGAGTCGCTCACAATGTTTTTCAGATGAGATTTATTGAATTATATATGACATACCGTACCTTGAAATAGTTAGCAGGCTGATTTATGTATCAACTCTTAAGTCTATGTCATATTTATATTTTTTCCAGTCTATATCAAAATGTGCCTATATTTATTTGCACTATGGCCTATCCCACTGTACCATGTCCACTGCACATCTTTGAGCCTTGTTATCGGTTAATGATTCGAAGATGCATGGAGACTGGAACCAAGATGTTTGGAATGTGCCTAAGCGATCCAGTTAAGGGGTGAGTCGCAGTTACCTTCTTGAACTGTAGAACATTGTCTAAATGACGTAGTTGTTAGATTTGTTTATGAACTGAGATATTAAAAAAAATTATAAACTTTTCCATTTTCAGAGTATCAAAAGCTGATTTGCATTCCCGTTACAGATAACTGTGTGGTGTGCAAAGCACTGTGAGACTCTACCCTGCGTGAAGGGGGCTATATAAGTGCAAGTTGTTGTTATAATTGTTCCAGAAAGTGAATTTATCCTCTTTCTATTATTGATAATTATTGCACAGAAACGGGTCATTTTATGCAAAAATTTGCAATTGCAATGCAAGATGAAATCTAGTTCTCTTAACAAAGTTCTGAATGCACAGTTGGTTGCAAATGATTTACGTTTGATGTAGTCAGATCGTAACTGCATTCATTTCATTTGGTACAGGTTCGCTGAATTCGGCTGTATGCTCGAGATCAAAAATGCAGAGCTATTTTCTGACGGACGTTCTGTTGTAGAGACTGTTGGCAAACAAAGGTTTAAGGTGTTGCAACATGGTCAGAGGGATGGCTACACTACTGCAGATATTGAATATCTTGCAGACCAAAAGGTAATACTTTGTCAGCAGTACTGTGGGTGGAATCATAAATTGTCATTTTGTGTTGCGTTCTGTAAACTTCCATGTGTTTTTGTTGCACTTGCAGCCGAGGGCAGCTGATGTGGATTTCATAGCATGTCATGTAGAATTGTATCTTATCTGTAATGTTACGGTATTGCAAATGATTTTAACCAATTAATGTCCTGAAAAGATTAAATTCAAGGAAGATAAGAGCAAATAAAAAAACACAAAGCAATTACAAATAAAATCAAATGTGTTACACAGGCAATAGAAATGAAAAACATTAATTACTTTTTTTTTGTTTGGTCTGTCAATTCTTGCTCGTATGAATCAATTATTTAATGGTTTTATTGATGATTCGGAGCATGAATACATATAGGCTAATAGATAAGGCAGAGTATTCATTTCAATCAAAGCACAAGTGGTTTATATTTGCCATCCAAAGCCTGAGATTTGAGTAGTGCTTCAAATGCACTGCCTCCAGTCCTTTAATTAGTGATTCACTCTGACTGAGATGCTGCTAGGACACCTCATTCTTAATTATAAAGAGTCTGAGCAGGAGTTTTGTACACTGTGTTTCACGACAAAAAACTATTACACTATCAATCTCAGTAAGAAGTTATTACCCTACACACAATTACTCAATAACATAAAAGCTTATATGGAAACAGTGCAAGACCGAACATCAACTAAAACAAAGAAAAATAAATAGGAGATACTGTAATATTTCAAAGGCGAGGAATCAGTCTCTATAAATCAATTCTGATAAACAGTTTACAGCATGTTTCAGGAAATAAATTAAGACTATGACTTAGAAGACTTAAGTCCTTTCACTTTCTGGACCTCGGTTTAAATGAAGGTTGTGTAAATTAAATGTTGTAACCCTCCTATCTTTCTACGTGACAGGTAGCGGGAGACGAATATGCCAAACTGCTTCGTCTCCATAACTTAGTTTATGATCAAGCATATACGTGGTTTAACTCACTCAAACCAGTCCTGAAGACTCGAATTGTAAGCCACTTTGGCTCAATGCCAGGAAAGGATGCAGATCCTCAGGTATCTTGATTTAATCCATGTATTTTATATCTGTGAAATGAAAAATACATTTGACAGTGATTTGATTGTCATGTGTACATTGTGGATTAATGCAATTGGAAATTTAAATTTTGATCTATTTGGTATTTTTAAATCAGAAATCACTCTGAATTGGAATGTTAGGGTTCAAAACCCCCTATCAGGACTTTGAGCATACAATTTAGGCTGACACTCCAGTACAGAGCTGGGAGAGCTCGGATGTGTCATCCTACAGATAATAATAAACCTTCCGTTTGATATAGCGCCTTATCAAGTCATTGAGATGACTGAAAGCGCTTCACAGACTATATTGTAAAGTGGATTGACTGTGTATTTTGTGGGCGATAATTTTGAGTTTAACATTATATCAAATGGAAGATTATCATTGTTATTATTTTTAATGGAATACTTGCCTTTTTCCTGCAGGCAAGTCCTAACGGCCCAGCCTGGTGCTGGTGGCTGTTAGCTGTCCTCCCTTTAGAAAATCGGGCCCAGCTTCCTTTTCTTGCCATGACTTCACTGCAAGAACGTTTGACCAACATCCGACGTGTATTAATATTCATGACCCATAACCGCTGCCGGTGACACAAGCTTCGACCGGTCCCTGCTCACGCGAATAGCACCGTAGAACTTGTAGCTGAACATGTGCGCTATGATAATAATAACTATTTTCTACTTTCCTGTTGTAATGAACCAGTTTCTTGAAAGCCTTCTTTATCTTCTCTAATGTAAAGGGTATATCTGAAGCACATGCACAATCTTGAAGATTTGGGGAAAGAATGTTACTGATAATATAACCAATTGCTGTAGCATTAACTGGCAGTCTTGCTGGTGACATTACTGAACGTATGGATTTCAGTATGTTTTTGCTAAAAAAAAAAATTACAACCTAAAACTGTTTTAATATTACCTTATTTGAAAATGTATATTTTGTTAAATCTTAAGTATATTTATGAAAAAAGTTAAAAGATTATGCATTATTATGTACTGTGAATTCAGTTTAAAGACAAACATAATAATCTGAAGAAAATTACACAAACTACATACAATTTTGTTACATATTCATAGTTACATAGTTACATGGTTCAAATACTCCTAAAGGATATAAATAATGTGTTAAGTCTAAATACATCTACACTGGGAATTCACCATTTTAGGCATTTGCTCTGTCATTTTAAATGGATTTGAACTTCCTTTTTTTTAATTCAAGCATATGCCATACATTATATTTCTTTTGAATTATAAGGGAATAATACTCCTTAATTTTCTCCCATTTCCTTTGTTTCCTGGCCCTGGACAGTCTCTTCTCAGGGATCTGTCAATGCTATTCATGCTCACTGGAAAAGAGGAGACTAAAAGCAATTCAGAGATGACTCTTTATGATTCTCTATTCCATTCCCTCCTTTCTTCCCAATGGGAAGCCTTTTCATTTCACCTGGTGCTCACCTGGGTAACTTGATTAAGATCATGGCTTCATCTCATCACACTTTGGCATTGTTCACTGGTGCTACAGACATACCCTGTGCCATTGCACTACCAAACAGTTTCTATAATGTGAACAAAACACAAGTACTGCAGATGCTGGAATCTGAAACAAAAACAGAGCGAGCTGGGAAAACTCAGCAGGTCAGGCAGCATCTATGTAGAAAAGAAAGTGAAGTCAACATTTCGGGTCCTCACATTCTATAATGTGAGTTTGTTTCAGTTTGATTTTAAATGACATTTGTTTAGAAATGGCTTATTTTCACTGGGACATCATGGCGGCCGGCAGAACACAGTACAGCGATTGATCATTTGCGAAAGGGTTTTTTCTACTTCTGAGATTTTGTTTCTTTACTTGAAAACTTATGAGCTGTCACCAAACTTGGGATTTCCTTATTATCAGTAACATTCGGTATGACCTGGTATGAACTTGAAAAAACTGCATATTCCTTCTAATTTATACAGTCAGCAAGCCAAAGCAAAACATATGTATTATCTTATACATGTTACTTCTTGATTTTGTTGCACATCCAGGCAACGGACAGGACATTGGGTGTGTGCTGTAATTAATGTACCCGTTTGACAGTGTGAACATAATCTTCCACAATGTGCGAAGTGTTTAGTTTTAAATCTTAAAAAAACATGATTGTGTTTTAACAGTTCTGCCTTTAATACATATCAAACGTGTGTATGTATCTGTGTGTGTGTGTGAGAGAGAGGGGTAGGGAATGTGATATGTGATGTAATAATTATATTCCATAACACAATTTACCCTCATTCTTTCTAATTGCCACATGTTGTCTGGTTTAATCAATATGTACAGAGCTAAAAAAAACAGTAACTGTATACTGGATTGATCTTTTGGTACAATTTCTAGCTCTGTCATTGTGTTTCTGAAACAGACCAAGATTTTGCCCAGCCTTAATAATTGTACAAATTACATTTTCTGATAATTGTTAAAACCCAATGAAATGAAACTAATTACATCATAACTCATCCAGCAATCATGTGCTTGAATGTGACATTTTTCAATATTGCCATAAGACTAATATGCTGTAAAATATTTCCAAAGGTTTACTAACTAAGTTAAAGCCAGCAGTTTGACTCCAATCTGCAATCACATATGCCAAGCTGGTTCAGCTCATTCGGATCAATGAGATTTACCTCCTGGTAGTAGCTGAGTGTTGATTGGAATTAAAACACCAAGCTTACTTACATTTGCACTGTATTTTGGAAAAACACAATGGCATAAAAATCTCAAAGTTGCAAACTTTAATGAGGCAATGCCTTTTTCCAAGCAGAATAGCTCTATATATGTTTTGCTGTTATGATTATGTGGCACAAATGTGAAATTGATGTGAATTACATTATACCATAGCAGTTGGTGTGTGGCAAACAGAAAAAGATTTACCGAACACTTTTCAACAAAGCCAATGCCTCTTTAAGCTTCATTTCTACTTAATCCGTTTGCAGGTATTGCTGACATTCAATTTATTTCTATGTATTTCTTAAGGTTAAGCAAACAAATTTGACATTTGCAAAAACAATTCTCATTTACAATAAAAATAGCCATGTGAAGCCTGGTTTTGAACAGGAGTATTCCACAAACACTCAAGAAAGATATTTAAATTTTAAAACATTAATTTGTGAGTGCAGGTGGAACTAGATCATTAGTGAATACTTATGGTTCATTATGTTTTCTTATTTACAGACGAAAACCACAGTGAAGCCATGTTACATTAATGGGTTGATATGGCCTAAATAGTTTCACATACTTAATACTGTATGCTTATGAAATGATCAAGTACCCATTACTGTAAATTAATTGTGAAATGATGCAATATTGCTTAGAATAGAGATTTGGTTCAAAGTGAAATGGAAATAGATTTGATGTATGTTACTGTTGCATTTGTTTGTGCCTTTGTCTCGCTATTCAAATCATTGTTACAAAGCAAAACCAAGCAATATTTTATTCTGATTTTTCACCTCTGTTGTATTCTCTTCCCCTGTTGTCTGTTCGTGTAGTGCATTAGCTTTTCAATGAATAATATGCCACTAATCATTTGAAAATTTTGTAACTCTTTGTGATGCTTATTGCACTCTGAGGTATTTAAAGTCCTTTCAAGATGCTTTTTGGGACGAATATTCTTGTGAAGGTAATTGGACAATTTCCTCAGCCTGCAACCATCAGTTGTGTCATTGGGCCCGCTGTTGTATATTAGTGACTGATCATCCATTTCCGTCATGCTTTGGTTCATATTCACAAATGAGCTGATGAATGTTAAATATGCTCATATTTGGAAATAGATTTCAAATGGAGTGTTTGTGTTAATTGCAACTAAGATCAAGCGTAATGTTTAATAAAACAATGTTTCGTGTGTAGCTTGTGTCATTAGCCTGTCCAAGAAGCACTTTATAAAAATGGAAAATTATGGAACATAAGGGATATTATAACTTGTGACTGATTAATTAGTGAGTCCATTATTAAAGCTGTTATTTTAAAAAGAATGCTACATGTTTGACCATCTCTGTGTGTATTCAGTTCATACAATACATGAAACAAAATATTCAACTGGAAAATCTTCAAATTCAATTACGTCCTTAGACATAATTTCATGTATTTCTAGGCAATGATATTATCAAACAACCACAATGAATATCACACATTAGATAATCACTGAACTACAGTATTTTTAACATTGTTAAACATTGCCCACATGGGGTGAATAAATTGCAATCATTATTGAATAGATTAGCATCTGGTACAGTACTTGTCTTAAAATGTATTCAAAAGCTTACATTTCAGTGACAACAAAATGTGGACTATAGATAGTTATTAGGTGGTTCTGACAGCACATTGCTATTGCAAAGACAGATTTTGCAAACATACAAGAACATTACTGGAGACAAGAAAACTCAAAGATGTGAATGCACTTTGCCTCATGCATAATTCTCTCTACAAGAAAATATGTTGTCAGGGTGCGTGGGATTTGATATATAGTTTTGGAAGGATGAAGAGGAACTTTTATTATGCCTCTTCATTCAGTAAAGAGGCGCTTTACAAATGTAATTTTGTTGCTGTATACTGACTAAAACACAAGGCGTTCTGCTCATTAGAAATATCTGAACAATAGTGTTTGCAAAATTGATATGAGGATTATTGGAAGGGGCAGATAGTCTTTCAATTAATAATTTTGATCTTGGTCTCAAGAAGTCTGTCAGTTAAGTTGAATTATTTAATATTTCCCAGATGGATTCTTCCTGTTCAGTATTAACAATGTAAAATGCATACTAGGAACCCAATAAACAAATAGCTCCAAATAATTTGCATTGAGTTGGCTGTTACTGGATCAATGATAGTGACAAGAAATGTTAATCCAATTACTTAGAACCAATAGGGCTTGCAAGACAATGTCTTTCCTCCCATCATATGCATACCAAATCATAGCATCATCACACTGCACTGTCATATAGCTTATATAACCAGGCAAAACATCTTCTAAGAGCCTATATCTTCACAATCCTTGCTCTTTAAGAATAAAAATTGTTGTTAGAATATGAAATATGCAGCTAAGCAGGGAAATCCTTGTGAAAATTAGGACCCCATTCATTTTGTATTACATCTTTGTTTTTAAGCTTGGCTGTGATGACACAACAAGCTTGTGGTGATTATAGCAAGAAAATAGGTAGTTCAGTATCAACTGAATAATGTCTAGTATTACTCCAGACAGGAATGTTCCACCCAGTGGAGCTTATTGAGTTACAGATCGACAGCAAGAGGGCTTGAGACTTCTGACCCTGTTATGGAGAATTTTATGCAGAGAGCAAATTTACCTGAGAGGATATCTGATATCTTATGTAATCGTAGCCCTCCTATTCAACCACTGGTGTTATTCAGTTGGACAAAGGACAGAAAGAAAACCAAATATATTTTCCAGCAAACATGGTTGTTCCTATTTCCACCATTAATCTTTAGACTTAGCCTATAAGTTATACCCAGTCCAATTGTGCCATTTGCTTAAGAGTGGTCATCACATTCCAGTGTCACAATGGTAACCGATCACAGATATTTGCACTGAACAAGCAGGTCCTGTCAAGAATAATAAGGTCAATGCAATATGTTACCAGAGTATGTTACATAATGGCACCCAGAGGTAACCTGAGGTTGAAACATAACAATTTCCCAATCAAAATCAATTGATCTTTAAGGACATCTGGAAACAGAAATATTATTCATAATTTCAACTCCCCCACCCCCACTCTCGCCCTTCCCACATCCAATCCATCCCAATCTATTCTTGTTCTCTGGAACTCCATCCTGGAGTCCCTCCAATTCACCCCTTCTCTCCCCTCTTTCAAAGCCAGCCTTAAGACTTATTTCCCTTTCTAACCACATGTTCAGTCAGTTCAGACAGCTGTGTATAAAGTAAATGTAAATTGCATTAACCTAGAAATCTCCACAATATGCTACTCAACACAAGAAATTAGCCTGAAAGATACATCAATAAGCAAATAGGTGAACCATTATTATTTCTGTTATAAATAGGCATATTTATTGAAAATCTATTTAAAAGTTGAACTGTGCTCTTCCCAATGTGCAACAGCTGACAAACACATTTATTGTGTTATGCAACAGATTTGAATTCTGCTTCAAGGCATCAACATGTTATATAAACTGACTGCATTGGCTGTTTTTCTCTCAAACCAATATACTCTCCAATAATAATCATTCCAATCCTTGCATTTGATAGAGCCCCTTATCACGTTAGGTGGTGGGAGGTGGGGGAGGTCTCAAAGCGCCTCACAGGGTTCACTGTAAAGCCTAGACTGAGCATTGACATGGCAGTCAATTTGCACACAACAATGTTCCACAAACAGCCACAAAGTGAATGACTTTAATTGAGGGATCATTGTCGGTTCGGTATTTCATCAAGTCCAAAAATACACATTCAAGATCTACTGTTGTTTATGTATTGTGTTCAATTTTGTCAAGGAGGATGTGCAATTTGATTATATAAAACTTGAGTTTTGTATCTTATAAATATTTATTTTGTTCCTGGAGGGTAGATTATGGTTCTGTGTTAGCAAATAGCTAAATTATCATTGTATTTCTGTTCTCAGAAAGTAATAAAAATAC